CCCTAAATGACAGTGGATTGGATGTCCGTTGGACGGCTCCAGTGGATCGGACCATGAATGGCTTTGTGTTGGAGTGGTTTGCAGTCAGAGAGAAAAACAGCAGCGCCCTACAATGGGAACTGCTGAGTCGCTTCTGTACACAGCGGGTCATCACAGGTAATCCAACAATACCTCCAACAGCTAAATGAGTAAGACATGTCGCGCCTTTATTTAGACTTTTTGGAGGGATACATCTTAGAATATATGATTGCCAACTGATTAGTTATTTCCTCTCTGTGTTGCTTTAGAGGGAGTGAAGCCCATGGAGTGTTATGCTGTCTCTGTCAGAGCGCTGTATGGGGAACGAGGGGCGGGACAGAACAGGACCGCTCACGTTTATACTCGCCAAGGAGGTACGTGGTCTACAGGAAATTATTTTTATCTCATTCCAAGCTGTACAAATAGATTCAGACCAGGACAGCACCATTTCCTTTGAAGGTACCTAGAACTGGGTTGGGTCTGATTATCATGATACAAAAGTGATGTAGCCGGATTACTTTCTGTTTACCTCAGAATCAGAAATACTTTATCGGTCCCACAGCAGGGACATTTACAGTGTTATAGCTAAAGTTGAATAGCAGGTTAAAAAAAAAAGAGACATGAAATAATTAAAGAGTAAGCACTGTAAGCATACCTGTACCGACTACCAAGGGAAAGGTCAGATAATTTAAATGAATGTCTGTATTCATGTATAATTTGCCAAGACTTAGAAGGAAAGGGTAATGTATGTACGTGTATGTGAGCAATAACGTGTAGATTCGAGTGAACTGTAAACTGAGGCGGGTGTGATTTTTATGTACATCTCCATTTATGTTATATATTTGTAGAATAAATACAAAGTTATAAAAAAAAAAGTAAGCACACATTAGTAATTCAGTAAAAACAAAGACAAATAAGTAGTGCACAACCATGGCTAAAAAATTAGTAGCAGCAATTTAAAGTGGACCTATCATGCTATATTTGAATAATATATTGTAGGGCCATACCTATATAAGGCATATCTATACGTTTTATTTTTCAAAATACAAAACAGGTCATGCATTTTATCCATTCCTCATTTCGCTCAATTTAACACTGCCTTTCATGCTCGGATTCAGTGAGAACAGCACCATCTGGTGGCCTGAAATAATGTACTACAGCGTCTCCAGCGCTTTCGAACGGCAATGTCCATGGCTGTCTCCTCCTGATTGGTGGATTTCGCCCAATAGCCGTAGCGCCACCGTCCTGACGTCAGAAAAGTGTTCAAATCTGTATCAGTCTGTATCAGATCCGTTGCAGCCCCTTTTTAAGAGATTTGGGTATGGAGGAAAAGAGAGAGGGTTGTGTTTTCTGACACACGGTGAGTTCCCTGGAACACCGGGGACACATATTCATGTATAAAAGATAGGTCCCCTTTAAGTAAACTAAGTGTCATAAATACTGCAGCATTGAAGTATTGTGACCTTAAAATAATATAAGTTTGTAAATAAACCTATTTTAAATCAAGGCATACTATTGTTCTTCTTAATAATTTAACATCAATACTTGATAATAAAAAGTTGCCTCTAAATGAGAGATTGATTAGGGCTTTGTGTTCCAATATAACAGCTGATCAGCTAATACTGTTGCTGGTTTAAAAAAGCATCGAATGGTTTAGGGCCAAAACACATTTCGGATCTCCTGCTAAATCATGAACCATCCAGAACTGTCAGCTCTTCTGGGACGGAGAACTGAACACGGAGACGCAGCGTTCAGTTATTATGCTCCAAATATCTGGAACAAACCACCAGAAACATGCAGGTCCGCTGCAACTTTTACTATTTTTAAATCCAGTCTGAAGACTTTTCTTTTTGCCGCTGCTTTTAATTGAACTAATCATATCTTACACTGCACTGTAACTTTTATTCATGTATTGTATACCTGTGTTTTTCACGTGTTATGTTTATCTTTGCTTTTGAATGACTGTTTTTATAATGGGTTTCAGCTGCACGATTTCTTAACGTCTTTCATTTTTGTAAAGCACTTTGAATTGCCTTGTGTTGAAAGGTGCTATAATAATAAACTTGCCTTGCCTTAATGTTGTGCAATGAGGTGGTTATGAGGTGATTCAATAAGAGCTCGACATCTGTTGATTCTTTATCTAATGGTCCCAGTCATGAATTGTTTGATTCAATAAGAACATCTGCGAGATGTTAAACATGACAAGGAAGAAAACAAAAACAAGGAACAAATGGTTTCAAATTAATTCCAGCTGGGGTTTGACTTGTATTGTATTGGTTTCCGCCTCTGCTGCAATTGTGATCACAATGAAAACATCACAAAGATCCTGAGCATAACGTCTTGTTTGTTAGAAAACAATAAAACTGTTGTTTGATTGTATCGTCAGATCAGACAATATCCTCACAGCCGGTTGATGTAATTCCATACACAGTTGTGGAGGGTAACTTACAAAATGTAATCCTTTACAATTATTAGTTGCCTATGTACAAATGTAATCGGTACCCTGATCTGAGGATCACAATATAAAAGTAATGTAACCTGATTACTTCTGTTACTTTTGGATTAGCTGAATATCAAATGCAATGCAAGTGAATGCCAAACAGAAAGAAATATCAAGTGTATATGTAAGAAGAGAATAATCTCAATTTAAAAACCTGGCTTTCATTAAGCATAATTAGGTAGTAGTCTATAAACAATCCCAAAAATAAACCAGTCGAACTGTAAGGGACAGTTACCTTTTTTTCTAACCTGATTATCCCTCTACATATAATCTGTTACTCCCCAAGCCTGTAACCACATCAGTCGTTGCTAGATGTGGAAGAAGTTCTCAGATCTTGTACTTGAGTAAAAGTAGAAGTACCAGAGCATAGGAATACTCTGTTACAAGTACAAGTCCTGCATTCAAAGTCTTACTCAGTTAAAACAACACAAGTACTATCATCAAAATATACTTAAAGTAGCAAAAGTAAAAGTATTCATTATGCAGAATGTCCCATTTCAGATGAATACATATTGATGCATTGATGTGTTTATCAGAGCTGGTAAAGGTGCAGATAGTTTTAATTACTCTGTATACTGCAGGGTAGCTTGTGAACTTACTCCGGGTGGAGCTCTTCATTTTTGAGTTGATTATATTTCACATTTGTAATCCAAATCTGCAAAGTACACAATTTACCTCTGTATTTCTACTCCACTACAATTCAAAGTAGCACACCATTGAAATACTCAAGTAGAGTACAAGTAACTGAACATTGTACTTAAGTAAATGTACTTAGTTACTTTACAGACAGGGATCCAGTCTTATTCTCTCTACATTGAGATTGTTCATTGTTGTTGTTGTATTAATGTCTAAATGTGTGCATATGTATAAATGTATCGGTTGATTGTGTATATATATATATATAGTCACATATTTTTTATATCTTTGTTATTGTATTCGGGATTGTGGGAAACGATATTTCGATCTCTCTGTCTGTACACACAAAGTGAAAGATTGACAATAAAGTTGACTTTGACTGACTTTGACATGTCCNAAAATATATATTTGTATTTTATTGTGTGTCCTTTGTAGAGGACATTGGGTGTTAGCTATGTGAAGCATAGTATACAAACAACATTAACATACAAGTACATTTAGACAACATTAGAGCACAACAACTCAATGCAACAAATATTGAGCCCTCATTTGTAGTACTCCATCCTTTTTTTGAAATGCAGAGATACATCTGACACTTGAGGCACTTTGATGTATGTTTTCCCAGTGCATCCGTCTGCTATGAACCCTACAGAAACCTAAGTGTTAATTTTGGCCCATAGTTGACTCCATTTGTGTTGTAAAATGGGGGAAATAAAAAAGTTAGCAAATCCCCATGTCCTCAGAGGACATTCATAAAAACATTTAGTTTTAAGTCAAATAAGTATTACACTGCTCTGAAAACTCACTACACTAACTCCTAAGATGTTCCTTTACTGTAAATAATAAAAAATATTGAACTCACAAAACACTGGTAAATACAAAATTACAAACGTACCATTTCTCTTTCTATAAACAGTGCTTGTGTTGATGGACGCCATTTTGAAATACAATGAAATTATCTTTTTCAAAGCCACACCCCCAAATATGTCATAAGTTTGAAAAGCTCAGGATGTCCTCTGTGGAGTACAATTGGGCTTAATGCTGTGGCATGTATGACATCAAAGTAATGGACCAAAACCCAATGTGCTCCACAGAGGACAAAAATGAATGGGTGGGTCTCTGGAGGATATGATAAATAATAGGGAAAAGTAAGGTGCGCGTTAGAGGAAGCTTCACATTTTGTCTTTCCTTAAATTAGTCTTTATTTTAAAACAGTACTACTTAACTTTATTAATAAAACAGCTTAACAGTGTTTTAACTAACCAGGCAAGGAAGCCTAACAGGTTTTTACATTTTGTCTCAGTTTCTTAGATTTTTTGGGACATCCTTTGGATCAATCCCAAAACATTTAAAGGGGCCCTATTGTGATGTGTTGGGGGTTTCCCTTTCCTGTAGTGTGTTTGTGGCAGCGGGGTGTGGTTAGGGCGCGGGCTGCTGGAGTGAAGGGAGTGGCTCAGCAGGAGGCCAGACAGCTGATCAGAATCAGATAATCAGTCACTGAATAAAAGCATGTGGTAACCTGGTTCTGGTCTGTCTTGCAGTAGGCTGGATCCTAGAAGGACACCAAAGGACCTGTGAAGGATCCCGCACGGGCAACGTGTTTTGTGTATGTTTAACAATAAACCCCTGTGTTACACCCAAACCCTGCTCTTTCCGTCCCTCATTGAACCCTTTGTGAGCGGAGAGGCTGACCGTGTTATATAGGGTTTTGTGCATGTAAACGTTCTGCAAAGGCTGAGTTTCTCTCCCACACTCTGCGATGGGATCTAGATATTGTGCATTTGGTCTCGACTTTGAGCAACATGTTTCCATTTCTGAAAAAAAACTACACCCTGCTCCTTAACTTTATTTCTGAATGTGTTCCTTTATGCAAGTGTCATTTTGTTTTGGGTGTATTTGGGAGTGTCAGACCTGCCCCTGTGCTGTGAAGTTGAACTCTATCTGGGAGTTAAGTTTTCCGGCTTTGATTTCAGAGGCAGCCACAGGAAACACAGACAAGGTGCGTCTCCAGGTTACAGTCAGACACCGAGGACTCCCGCTGACTGACTTTGTGCTTGTCAAATCCGCTGGAGGCAACATCACTGAGAAAGAAAGGGAGAAATCAGTGAGATGGAAAAGAGGAAAAATAACATAGTTAGTAGAAAGAAGTACAAGGACCTCACCTTCAGTCCTGCCTGACTGACAGCGGGGTCGGGACGTGATGTTATGTTTGGGGCCGTGTGCTGTGATGCTGATGCAGAAGCAGTTCCTCACGTCAGTACTTTTTAACGCCGCCGTGCAGCGGGTGTTAGGCGTGATGCAGGTGAACTTTTTGTCAGAGCTGTTTGGTGGTCTGTGCTTCCCCAAATGCACATACAAATAGAAATACATACCCATTAACACAAACAGAAGCATTTAAAAACAAGGTTCATCTGAGTTCTCAAGTCAACAAGCAGACACACAAACAGGCACAAAACCACAAGCCCTGTCAGTCACACACACATTACATTGCACACATCACAATACTGCTCACACACACGTCTCCCACTCAATACCATCTGAAATGTTGCAACATTCACCAAAAAAAAGTTAAGAGTTGATGTGGACGCTGTGTGATTCTTATCATCTCAGTGCAGCATACCAAGAGTCACACCAATGTGAGATTCAAAGCAGATTATAGACTGAGGCCTTCGCATGTAACAGACAAGCTAAAATGCTGACACAAACTAAATCAAATTAGCTTTTCTTATGAACCCTATAGAACCCTTAGGTCTTCTGGTGCTGGCCTTAATCATGCCTCCAGTTAAAAACAAAGACCCTCGTAAGGAATTATTACGGCCCCTGAATGTGGAACAGCCTCCCAAGAGAACTGAGGGCCGCAGAGGGGGTTCATACTATTGAGAGCAAACTAAAGACCTGAATTGTATTTATTAATTAGAAAGGGAGAAACTCCCACTGGAAAGAACGTTGGGATTTTAGCCTTGGCAGTCCTCTCATGTGCACAAAAACCTATATAACACACTACAGAAAAGGGGAAACCCCCCCCCCCAAAAAAAAGAAGCTTAATATGGCCCCTTTAAGTTTTAGTCCATGATGCTAAACAACAAAAAACTAATATTAAGCAGGAATACGGAGGATGAGTTGAGGAGTCTTACAGCCGGAGGAAGGAATCTGTTGTGCAGTCTGATGAGAGGATGCCCCGTGTTGGGTTCGAACTGCAGGCAGAAAAATAAATGTTGGGTTAGAAGGTACAGGTTGGAAGGAAGAGTAGTTAAGCTATCTGCATAATGTCTGCATCATTCTTTTGATATTTAGAAAGAAACAAACCTAAGTGATAGGTGAGTTAGACTTTTAGGGTACAATACGATCAGATTAATTTAGTGGACAGGATTTCCAAGTACAGCATAGACAAATCCTGTCTGATATCAAAGGTACATCTGAGACACTATCAGATACTATGTGTTTCCTGTTTACCAGCAACCCAGTTTAAAAAACGATCGTTTCAGACGTTTAATCTTGACAGGCTGTAGAAATGTAAAATGGAAGTGGTTTATCAAGTAAAATGTTAAAAAAATGTAATTTGTTTGTCATTTTTTCTGTGGTATCTGCATCCACTGTTACTGTTACTGTTACTGATGATAATGAATTAAACACTGTTTAGAAAAAACATAACTAAATGATAGGTCATAAAAAAAATTAAGAAAGGTTAGAGGGGTAGGATGAAAAGTGTGTTGCTGACACATTTGGGAAAAGAATTGAGAGACAGACAAACGCATTGTTTCGGGCTACAGATGTAATTTGGCAATGTGCAAATGACAGAACAACACCTGAAAGGACAACGCGGACCAAATGCATGTTGAAACAAAATATGCAAATGTTCCACACAGGGAACAAAGGTGTGATGGGTTTAATATAAAATAAAATCCTGTGCTATGGCATACAGGGCAAATCCCAGTTCAAGAACAAATTCTTCCTATTCTACCCAGATACATGATGTCACAATGGGGTCCTCAAATGGGGTCCTCAAATAATATTTATATCATCTCAATAAATAATCTTTCATCAGAAAACCAGTCTCTCCCGGTTGATATTTGTCTGACTGAATAATCCTATCCCATTAAAGTCACACATTGACTACACAAAAAGAAAACAACCGTATCCCCCAGACAATAAAAACAAACATTTTATAACAAAAAGATGAGCATGACTTCCAACATATTTAAGGAATGTTTTGCTCACATAAAGACCAGTTGAACTTGCAGAGTGTACTGAGTCGTGTGGTTGTCTCCGGCCTCCCAGTGGCAGGTGACGTTAGCTCGATTCAGGAACACACAGCGGAGCAGCCGCGGGCCGTGGGGGTGCGCCTCGGGGTGCGTAATGGAGAAAGCTGGAGGCAAGGCTGTTCATGGAGAGAGGCTGGAGTTAACGACATTAAAAGGTCACCTATTGTGCAAAATCCACTTTGTCATGTCTTTTATACATAAACATGTGTCCTCTCTGTGTAAAGAGATTCTGAAAGTTTCAGGAAAAAAGATTCGCTCACTTTTTGTCCTGATCCATTTATATAAACACCTGTCTGAAAATGAGCTGATCAGATTTTGGCCACTTTATGATGTCATAACGATTTGTTTGGCTTGTGTAACCATTAGCCAATCACCAACCAAGGCAACCCCCTCCCCCACCTTGCCAAGGCACACAGGGGATAGGGGCACCATTGTGTTATTTTTAATCAAATATCTCTCAGAGGGGCGTGGGGAGTGGCTCCTTATTTTCATCTAAAGTAACAGACAGAGAATCAGTCTTTAAGGGGAACATTCTGCAAGTCATTGATGAGAACATTGGCATAGGAAACACCTTCGGGCAGAACGTGGGTTTAACTGGTAGCAAATAAAGAAACAAAAGAAGGAGAAACGTGGGAGAGATAAGGTGTCTGTGAATCTGTTTCATCATCCAACTGTTGCTAAACGGCAGCCCTTCAATCCTCCACAAACGTATTGAAACAAACCCCTGGAGAACTATCTCCATCTAATCAGGCACGTAGGATGAACATGATTCCTATTCTGTCAAATACTTGTGCACAGAATGCCATTGCTCTTTTGGCCTGAGGACTTCTTAGACCTGACTGTACAAGATGATTGCCTTAAATTTCAAAACATGATCATACTACGCTTTACAAACCAGTGGCTTGAGAGCATACTTTTTACCCTAATTTAACTTGAACTTGTTTCCTTTGCTCCTGGTGGTCAATATTTGCTACCATTTACTTCTTTGTTTTTCTTTATAATTTGTTTTTATAGATTGTTGCTGTTAAAGGAATAATTAACCAACGCTATGACTATTTTTATAAATTAATTCCTCCACTGTGTTACCAGTGTTTTTTTTTCTTCTCTCATATTACTCCTTAGTGAACAGATAACACTCTCAAATGAGTTTGAGAAGTAGTGAGCATATGACTGGTAAATAAGACTAATACTGCGCGGGTTGCGTGACGATTTAACGAACGGGTATTTTTAAACAAATGTATTCTATTAATGAAAGATTTCTGCATTTTGACAATGTTTCGATGGTGAGTCATTTCACAATTAGAAATATTCAGTTGTAGCTGTGTCACAATTTAATGTTTTATTTATTCCTGATGGTCAATATTTAATAGCATCACGCTTTTTGTCTTTTTCATAATTTTCTGAAATAGATTCAAAATAAAAAACGTAATTATTTCGAAAATGTTGAGAAGTAAACTGCTCTTTAAACTATTTTAATATTTTTGGGGCAATTTGGCATCACAACGTTCCTATTAGGCTTATTGCTTATCTTCTTTTCACCAGACACACTGATGAACTGCATCTTTATAACCAGATGAAAAAGTAGGCGGTGTTTATCCAACCCATTGATGCATTGTACGTGTCAAAACAAGAAAAACAGACAGCACCATGATTAGTTGTGGTAGTAACTAACCTACAGCCAACTGATATGATCTAATTTACATAATGAATCAACACCCGTCCCAAATAATACGGATTTGCATCCTCCAGTTCTTATGGCAGTGTCCCAAATATCTCCATAGTTGCATGTTTTTCTCTGGATTTAAAAAAAGGGAATATGTTACCCAGGGTGAGTCCGGCCCCCAGGAGGCAGGTCCACAGCACGGCCCGGGGCCGCTCCATATACCCCCCCCCCGTATATCCTGGGGGTTCAGTCCTGCTCACTCACTGTCCGCCATCACACCAACAAGCTCTCAGCGCAAACACCCTGCATGCTGAACATCTTAAAACAGGAAATACATACAGTGGTGTGAGAAGTAATCACGTATTTTACTTATAGTATCAATAACAAATTGTGAAAATACTGTTACAGGTAAAAGTCCCACAAGATTTTTGATGCGTAAATGTGTCTATCGAAGCTAAAGGTGGAGCTATTTTAAGTGACTTTGTTGCTGATCTTAACATTACATTACATTACATGTCATTTGTTAGACGCTTTTATCCAAAGTGACTTGCACACTCAATACTGTGGGCAATCACCACAGGAGCAATTTGGGGTGAAGTGTCTTGCCCAGGGACACAACGACATGCTGACTGCAGTGGGGTTTGAACCCTGATCCTAACACCAAGGCTCTATCCACTGCGCCACACGCCTCCTATTATAACCTATTATTACTCAAAACTTGAGTAAATGTACTTTACTACAACTCTCACCTTTTTTAAATTACGATTTTAAATGTCAATTTATATTTTGTGATTCCGCTGCACTATATCTTAAGGCTCTCTTTATTTTTGGAAAGCACTTTGAATTGCCTTGTGTTGAAAGATGCTATTTACATACATTTGCCTTACATCCAACAGTGAGAACATAATGTCAAATTTGACAAAGATTCACACGGTGAAAGGGCCAGATGTCCAAGAATGACTCAGTGTAGAGGATGCATTTCATCATTTTGATTGTAAAACTTCCTGTGTAGTAGTGTCACGACAACATTTGGATTGTTTTGAGCCCTTTAGCAGTTATTCAACTTGGCGTTGCCACATAGGAAATGTGTCAGTTTGTACAAGAAGAGACCATCTGATTTCTTATGGTGGGTCTAAAGGGTGTTTGTGTTTACATTTCTCTGGTTCATCCATCATAATAAAGACTAAACATCAGGTCTAACCTTTTATGATTATTAGCATTTTAACTTCAAGAGAGTTCAGGCTTATTATGGAGCATCCCCAAGGACAGGTGAAATATAAATAATATAAATCTAATGTAAAAGCTCTTCAATGAATCCAATCTTTGTGAAGCTTGTAACGCTTCGGTTGTGGTAACCCCATACTGAAAGATCTTGATTCAACTCATTTTTGGAGATGTTGGTTAAAGTAGAATTGTACTGGACTGCTTGGTGACACTTTCCTTTATTTCCCCTACGTCTATTTGATACAGTGTCAACAAAACAAGAGCACTGCAAGCTTCACAAGTATAAACCTTTTCTCTCGTTCTATAAAACACTTGCATCTATTTCTTGTTTAAAAGCAGAAATACAACGACTAACCTGTATTTATAATTTTTCACCATAAATGTTCAGAGTACTTGTTGGACAAACGACTGACCCCGGTTTCATATTATTGGATTATTATTACTGATACATTAACATTTCAGCATCAGTTTATTTTGCAGCTGGTCGAGTTGATGTTTATTACATATATACAGAAAGTACAATTAAAGCTGCAATATATCGTTTTTAATGCATTCATCTACTTTTTTCTTTGTTAAACGAGGTAGTCTTCTGAGCAGATTCCCATCACATATACATGTGTAGCATTTGAGTTCCTACTTCATGTCGCCTTAAGGAGTAATGGAGAAGGGAGGTAATTATACTTCCTATTTTTTTGAGCGGACAGGTGTGTGTAACGCAAACTACTTATGCAACAGGTGAGTGGGTGAGGGAATGGTGAGAAGTGAAACCAGAAAGAGTGTTACATATTTAAATGTTTAAATAGTTTTCAAACAAACCAGCCTCTAAAACACTAGCAGTACATTACATTTGAAAGGATATATTATATAACAAATCTCAAATCGTAACATCTTAGAAGCTTGAACCAACATTTCTTTTAGTAAATGCGTGACCATATAAATACAAAGTGTCGCAAAAATAAATTTCCATTTCAATCAATCAGTCGATTAATCAACGTATCCTCTCAGGTCTAATTACAGTGAAAGCAATCTCAAGAAATACAAAACCCCACAACTTCTCATCACATCAAGCAAGCTATATTAGGAATGCACATTTGGATGTCTGAGTGAGTCCTTCTGTGACTACTTGAACAGTTTTGACACTTCACTTACACACAAAACCCATTCAGGCTTCGCGAGACATTCACGGAAAAGTTGAAGACACAAGCGCTAAATAAAACACATGAAAATGTTTGAGTCAAAATCACTTACCGGTGCGAGCTCGACCAACACGCGCCTCTCCGAGTCCAATGACCGACTTGATGGATCAGAGGGACTACTAACACCCGCCTTCCAGCGTCAACACATGTTAATTGTGAGGTTTCAAAACTGCGGGTCGCGGACCGCTGGAGCCTGGAGGACCGTGGAGTTGTTTCCTCGGAGGTCCGATATTAGGCTTTTAGATCAAGTTTTATCGTAGCCTACAATCATTTCCATCCATCCACGTGATATAAGATGAACAAAACAATCTATTTTTAAGGGATATTTATAAAAACAAAGTAAACTCTCACTTTCAGTGGATTGCACACAGTTAAAACTAAATGTTATTACTCACTAAATAACTTAGTGTGATATATTGTTATATAACATTAAAATGACTTAGCTGTCTTTTTGTATGGCTCATTAAGCCTTTTGGAAATGTATTATTTATAATTCAGCATTTCTCATCAGAGCTGAGTTATTGGCTTTCTGTCCGTGTTCACAATAACTAACAAAACAAATCAGATGTGAAGGATATGAGCAGCAGGATGTGCGCTGCAGGATGTCTCAAAACAATTTCAGCTGCTGTGAACAATATCTCCCTCTATGTCTATTCTATCTCATGGTCTAACAATGAAGTGACTGCAATGAGGGGGAGGGTCTTCTTGTTCCTAATGTAACCAACTAGTGGCACCCATGAGACCACTATTATAAATGCATTACAACAACCACTGGTGTGTGTAATGCATTACAACTGTTTTTGATTGATGCCCATAAAACCATCAACTTTTAGTTTTTAGTATAGCCAAGAATACCTGGTATATGATTAAATAAGAGGCATTTGATTTTGACTGAAAACTACTTTTATCACAACGAGGGAAATTAGAACAATACACATTTTTGGAATCAAACCCCATCCCTCCTAGTTTGAGGCGCATTTGCGAGGCAGAGGTAGACACAGCTGTTGAATCCGAGGCGAGGGTCTGGCAGAGCGGGCCGCCCGGCTAACGATGTTCGGGTCGTACCCCTCGAACAGAGCCATCCTCTTTTTGGGCCCGCACAGCTCGAGAAGTCTATGGCTGGCCGAGCAGTTTCTCGCCGCTCTGGAGACGGGCCAGCAGACGGAGCGCTGCCCTTCAAACTTAGGGTGGTCGTGCTTAGGGGCTGAAAACATAAAAGCAATTATGTCATACAGCAAGTAGAACAATGCCACGATAGATAAACAATTGAAGTACTTACTAGCCAGTAGTTCCATGTGTGCTGATGCTTTGTAGGGTATGTGGGTCAACGGTAAAGGTTTAGATTTGGGGCTACAACCCTCCAGAACTGGCCTTCGTTTCGGTTGGGCAAGCTGGCAAATTCGTGAAGTGGCGACTGCCGTCTGCGTCCCTCTGTTCAACTACAACCAGGTCATAAAGGAGGTTATACACAAGCACCATATCAGACAGGAGCTGCCCTGAAGCTATCAAACACATGTACATTCATAAGTTTGCTGTTTATCCTCAATGCAGTGAAGAAGGTTTAACAACAGATACATTTTGTTTAGAGAACATCTTATCAAAGTAATTTACATCCAGTCTGCTGCCACTTATTAGACTCTTAGTTCACTCATTTTGTTGCCGTCAACCTAAAAAGGGATCAACTTTAAAGTTAAGGTCATATTTTGTATGTATGAACTCAAGTTGTATGTTTTTTGTGTCTCGAATGTGACATGTTCACATGTTTTAATGTTCAAAAAGCTCTTTATTTTTCTCATATGCTGCAGCACCTCTTTTCACCCTCTGTCTGTTCTGATTGGTTAGCTGGCCGACTTTGTTGTGATTGGTCAACTGCTTAGAGATGTCCCGGCCCTTAGCATATCACGTATAATGTGTTGGAGCGCTAGCCAATAGACGTACAAGTGTTACATACTGATGTCACTATGTTACGGATATAAAACAAGGAGGCCAATGGAGGCATTTCAGGCAAGAAAACACCAAACCTCTGGAACAACAGTGGGCGAGGAGGAGACAACACGCCAATAAGCAATACACTCAGAGGACTCAAAGAAAACGTGTAAGTTCAGTCGCCTTCCTAAGTACTTGATGCTCCTGCCTTACTAACACCGTTGGCTGTGGAGTTTTAAAGACATGTCGAAAGGTCAGTTGGAAAGCGGCCAGCTACCTCGTGATAAGCATTTTCTCAGGAAATAGTGTGTGTGTTATTCACAGGCTTAAGCAGAGGGCGCTCAGGCTGCCAGCCGACCGCAGGAGCCGGAGGCAGAGCCAGAGCACAGAGGCGATCTGAGGGGACGGCCCGGAGAGCTGCGCCGCTCACCGCCCACTCGGGAGAAATTCTGAGGAAAGGAAGAGAGTAATGAGAGCGTGGATAAATGAGGATACAGAAAGTTAAAAAGGAAGTTGATAAGACATAAAAGAGGAAGAGGAAGGGAAAGGAAGGTAGGGGGCAGACACGAGCAGAAACCCAGGAAGAGGAAGGGAAAGGAAGGTAGGGGGCAGACACGAGCAGAAACCCAAGAAGAGAAAGTAGAACATTAAGGCCAGATGGAGATGAGTTCAGATCTAAAAAGTTCACAGCGAGGTTTCTCTTTTAAACAACTTGATTTTTTCCTCATTAAATCTTTAATGTTAAAGTTATTTAAATATTATTGTCATTTAACATTGTTACCAGCTGCATTGCTGTGTTTCCTGGCAAATGGGGAAAAAACTTCTTGGTAGTATTTTTTGTCAGGATTTTTTCCAATGAATTACTGTTGTAAATGTAAATTGTAAAAATGTATTTACTGTACGTCTAAATTATCCTGGCAAAACCTTTATTCACATGTGTTCTGTAGTCATAAACACAGGAGAGAAAACCATTTAAACCAGACTTACAAAGTGCATCACAGGACTTACTTTTGTCTCATTGCCTCTCACAAATCACACATGCATAAGCAGTTCATTCATCATTAGCATAATGCATAAATTCATATTTACGTGACTTGACTGTAGAATGTTTTATTTCTACATAGCTCCGACCAGCGAGGGGTTAACTCTAAAAAGAAAAACATGTATGCACAAATCACAAAAAAGCAGTTCAGGGCATGTTGTAAATAGAAGAAAATGTTGGAGAGAGATGTGAATGATGTACCGATTTTGGTGATGGATCCAGTACTCTCTGGTGGCATCTGATCCAGCCAGTAAAGAGAACGACTGGAAAATAAAAGAGAGGACTTAACATCAGAATACAAACGGAGACGGAGAGAGGAAGACAGGATTCTATTGGGCCTACCGGTCTGGATATCTGAGTCTGTTGGGTTTGGGTTGAGCAAGTTTCTTCGTGAAAGTTGCCATGAAAATAGTTGAAGCTGGCTGGCGAGGGAAGCAGAGGATATTCATCACAATGCCATTGTCCTTCACAAACATGACAGTAAACAACATTGTTTGTCACAGACTACACAGTGTGCCAACAACAACTCAAGCCAAGGCATGCTGGCTCACTTTCTCTTTTGAAAGTTGTGTTACTTATTATAAAAGAGTAGAAATGTCATTCTGTGATTTCAGTTTCAAAATGACGAATAAAATAGCCCTGAAACAATTATTGATATTGAGACATAAAAACTGTAAAGCCCAACTATTCAGGATTGACTTTTATATTATTTTTGTTACATTGAATACTTTTAATGATGTATAATAATGTCATTTTGATGTTTTAACTAGGTGGTTGAATCCTCTCGCTGGAGAAAAAACCCACATCAGACACATATTAATTCAAAGCTCAATATTTGTGTGTAGGTTTTAAGACATATCTTTGATAGTTTAAGTAATGTATCTAGCAGACATTTAAAACATTAAATACGGATGAATTGCTTTTTTCAGATATATACAGTGGGGCAAAAAAGTATTTAGTCAGCCACCAATTGTGCAAGTTCTCCCACTTAAAAAGATCAGAGAGGCCTGTCATTTTCATCCTAGGTATACCTCAACTATGAGAGACAAAATGGGGGGAAAGAATCTAAAAAAAATCCAGAAAATCACATTGTCTGATTTTTAAAGAATTTATTTGCAAATTATGGTGGAAAATAAGTATTTGGTTAATAACAAAGTTATTGAGGTATAACTATGGAAATGACAGGCCTCTCTCATCTTTTTAAGTGGGAGAACTTGCACAATTGGTGGCTGACTAAATACTTTTTTGTCCCACTGTAAGTCTGTGTGAGTTATACACAACAATGAGGATGTTACCCATGTGCATTTTTACTTTTTCACAAACAATGTAAACACAAAACAACAATAGAAAGGGAAGGAAGTTGTAATAATAATAACTTGCATCCTTAATTTAGCTAAACATTTTTGCCATGTAATACACTCTATTGGTAATGGCTAATCCATTTTAAGAGTGCTGTAGCCCATGAAAAAAAATATTGAGTATGTACTGTTGAGGCTTAACCCTTCAATGCACCAACCACACACACATTTAATCTGTAGCTGACCCCATTAATAACACAGAGACAAATGTATTTACCTTTAACTAACCACGTTACAGTTTCTCTACTGTAAAAGTAACTATAACACAATTAGAAGCAATAATAGTTTTTACCTGTACTTGGTTCTCGTGGTGAAACCGACACCTGCTGGTTGCTAGGGGATCAGGTGCATACGCTGTATACCAGGTGACACTGGTGGGGTACAGAAAACAAAAGATCCTCTATGGGCAGGGAGAGGCGATGTCCCACTCCGCCTTACTGTGTGTCGCATTAAGGCATCACTATGGATATTTTAGGTTTAAAAAAAAAAAATAAGATTTCCCAATAATTTTGTCTGTTTATGCAAGAACCATACATGTTATCAATGGTTGTTTTTTGGAAGTTCAACCTCAGCTCCTATGATAAGTCTAAAATAATTGGTTTAGCCAAAATAAAGACGCTCAGATTCTTAAGGATTAAAATGTCACCATTAAAATCACACTTCTTGGCATTATCAACATGAAATCATTTGTACCAGATGTATCTCTATGGGCCATGTACATGCCAGTTTCCATTGCTCCTGGTTTCCTGAAGAAAACAAATAAAATGCATCAAAGCACTAGACCATCTTTATTACACCAACCAACGAAAAAACGTACCTCACCTGACCCACCTCAACCTTCATTTTGATCTCAACAACACATCTGTAAAGAAACTGCATCTTGCATGGTTGTAGCTATCTCTGAGAATTAATTAATCCAAAGGTGGTTTCAATCAACTACACATTAAAAAAGCAATAAATAAGCATGTGTTGTCTAGAATAGAAAACATCTTTCTCTGGTTGTAAATATTTAAATAGGAACTTACCTGTCATCGCCTTAACTTACGTCACCTTTAGATGAGAAATAACTTAAATATACATTTTTGCCAGAACCATCTGTTTATATGACATGATCAAAATATGCTCATATAAAATTCACAGGATGCAAAAAAAAAAAACACAGACTATTTAAAAACAAACACTTTTATTTTCAACACACATTTAAAATCTTATAAAACAGCACAGTACATAGTCTACCAAAGCTCCTTTAATAGTCATAATCACAAAGCAATAAGCTTTCGGTATAATACTGCTATTGATCTCTAAACTAGTATTGCAAAGAGAGTGACGTGTCATGTCTTTGGGACATTATGCTGTCACTTGGTGTTGTTCACTGGAAACATGAGCTCAGGGAAACACTGCAAGGAAGCAGCTATATAACGAATCACAGGCCAGGGATAAAGGGTTGATACTGTAACTAACACTTAAGATGATAACAATAGTTGTTTTGCAGTCAGAGCACTTTTTAAACTGCTTTGTACACTGTCGAAATCTAGTTTAAAAGCCCACACCCCATATCCATCATCTTGCTTGATATTCTTTACCTATACCAAGAAAAACACCCGTTCTATTATCCTTTAAGTGACCTAGTGGTACAGTCACTCTTTGCTCTACAGTAAAAGAGACCGGTCTTCATGCAATGTAGTGTAGATCCTACTCTCTCAGGACACTTTTTTTTTTTTAAAGTACTTAGTTATAAACTTTCTATGAATGATTGCTGCTTTGAGGAGTCCATAGTATTAAAATAAGGGGATTTCAGTGACAATACCAGTTCACAGGTGATTACATGAGGCACTGAGACGTTTTATTGAGCTGCCAGTGTAGTTACTGGGGTTATAGTAAAAGGAGAAGATGGCACCAAACAGTCCAATCTCTAGCGGGCAGTGCAGGTAGAATGGTGATGAAAAGGCATGTAGGAAAACAGGAAGGTAGTAGGTAAATATTGGGTATATATCGTATTCAGTAGCACCAGGAGAAAGAGAGTGTGTGTGTGTGTGTGTGTGTGTGTGTGTGTGTGTGTCAGTGTCAGAGGGTCTGCACTATGACGGGATACAGTAGAGACATGTGTTCAGCTCCTCTGATTGGCAGCTTGTGTGTAGTGTAGAAGTGGATGACCTCGGGGATGGTGGAGAAGGGAGGGCTGTTCTCTCCGAGCACATAGCGCCCGTCTGCAGAGCGAGTGAACTTCATGTGCATGAAGCCCTTAAAGCTCCTGTGAAGAAGGAGGGAAACAGATTCAAATGTGTGTGTTGTTTGTGACATTTACAAAAAGGGCATTTATGGGAACACACATTCCTAAAACCAAATGTGGTTTCTTGGAGTGAAGTGTTGCGGCGAGCGAGTAAAACCATCTGGAGACATGTCAAGGTATGCCTCTGAAAGCAATTATGGGAACCAGTGTTTCCGCCAGACCAGGGCTGAGAGGGCGCCCTCGGCTCGCGTTCAGGGCGTCCCAAGCTGAATAAGGGCGTCAAAGGAAGGCAAGACGCCCCCCTGGCGGAAGCACTGATGGGAACGCATTCTGTTCTGGGAACAGACGAAAGTTGTTACCGAAAATGTGTCAATGTTCTTAATCTTGTTAGGACGTCCCTATGGCTTAGGCTGGGATGTATATGTGAAACATCAACACAACACCCTTTGTTCAAATACCGCAGGGGGCTTTGTTGCATATTTTCACGCCACTTGTTACCCGTCACCTCTCCACTACTGCTCTCTTATTAAAAGGCATGAATTATCCGAAATATAAAATGGTGAGTCAGTGGGGTCCCAAATGGCTGTGGAATGAATTTGTTTGTAATTTGCAACAAATGCACTTTAGCTTGGAGTTTTACCATGAATCATTACCATGTTGTTATTATATTCATCTCCTAATGACGTTTGCGATTTTGTAAACTGTCATCAATATTTATAACACTGATGTAAACTCAGATTGATGAATAGGTCTTATCAACTTTATATAACATTCTTAGTGCTTTGTTGGCTCTTTAGAGGATTGTTGAACATAATTATTAGAACACTGGACTAGAAAATAATCCACAGAGATCCTAGTAGAAACATCTTGTATTTGTAATCTGATCTATTCACCGACACCTCCGATCACTATTCATGCCTTTTGGTTTTGGTTGGCTACATACATGAGCGTTCAGCTTGGTTTAATCCACTCGTATTAATGAGTACAGACGAGAGATAAGTCCCAGCACGCAGAGGATCACTGGAAAAACAGCTGCTTTCATGTTAATTATTCATAAGTGTTCATAAGTAAACACACTTGCAGAGAGGAGTGGGGGATGGGGGAAGGAAAAAGCAACACAGATAAAGCGCCTATATGGGAAGAGAGATAAAAGGGAAAAGGGCGAACAATGAAAAGCTGTCTTAGGGCTCAAGTCTGAGACGATTAGCACCACCCACAGACCAGAAGAGAACCAAATGAGGCAAAAAAAAGAAAATCTGATCATTTTGGAGACATTACAGTGGAATAGGATTCCCCTTTAAGAGAAAGCAATTTTGAATTGAGACAATATGAGAAGCCGTTTTTTGGGAGGTGGGGAGTCCAGTACAGCTTACAATAAAACAAAAAGAGGCTACAACTGTAAATGAGACCCAGAATGTGCATTAAAGTCGTTGAAAGGACGAATGTGGGACAGCAACGATCTGCAGCTGGACTCAGAGTGTGAGAAGGAGAGTTTACCTGAGAGAGAGCGAGTACTCGTTCCTGCCGGTCTGGCTGTTCCTCACCAGGTACGAGCTCTCCTTGCACAGAGTCAGCAGACTCTCTGCCTCCGAGCGGCTCAGGGCTCCATGGTACCACCTGCAGAGACCAGGAGGAAACAACAGAACACTGAGATCCATGCAGTGTAACTCAGGGACTATTGCTAAGTTCCTTCAATACTGAAACCGCTACATGGTCCAAACATTATGTGTCTGCAAAACACTACGACGATGACAACAGGCATGAAAGAAGAATTAGTTGTAAGTCGACATACATTTTTAAGAGTTGTTTTTAAAGTAACAGATCGTATTGTATCAATGCAAATAAAAATAAAAAAAAGGTACGGTAAGCTGTTCCTAGCAATGGAAAA